GAAAAAGATAATATTTTTGCTCTTAACGTTGATGTTTCAAATAGTGTTTTAACTTTACAAAAGTATACAAAAAGAAAAACAAATGAGAAGGAAAATGCCCAGGAGGAAATGAGACTAAGCAAGTTATCAATATCATTACATTTGATATAAGACAATTAAAATAGATATATTTAGTATAGCTACACATTTTGTATCTTGTAACATTCATAAGTTATAATCACATCAAATAAAACAGTTCAAATCTTATTAGCAAATTAAAAATATCCTGAAATATTATTACACATAAAGCATAAAACAGAAAAAAAAATCATCAAGAATCTTTTGGAAAGAAGGTACATGTTCTTATACTGTGACCTTCTTGTCCATAACGTCCACAACAATTAGTTTTTGTTGTTAGCTTTTTATCTTGATTTTTCTTTTTCTTTTTTCTTGGTCTACCAGACATCTTTTTATATTTAGGTGGCAAGACGACTTCTTCAAAAACACAATCAAGAGCTATCCAATCATTTTTGTCTGGCATTAGTTTCATTGGTACTGCATAAGTATTTGTTAATGCATTGTGTTTATAATAATCAGCTTAGTAGGAGTGTATATCTGTTTACAAAACGGCTATTGCATGTGGACGAGGTATCTCGTCATGTTGAAATCTACCATATGAACAAGTTTTTCCCTCAGGACAAACATTGTATCTTATCACACCTTCATACACTGAAAAAATAAATTCAGAAGAGCAACAACCTACAATTATTTACAAATTAGAGATATTTAACACATTTTTTTTGGGTTAAACAACAATATAATAAAGATAATACAAATACGTACCTTCATATTTGCTCTTCTTGACGCGTTTAAAATCAATATTTCTTCAAATCTCCTCCCCAATGTTTCCTTTGTATAAGAAACTATTTCTCTATTTTTGCAATTCCAAGAACCAAATAGAATTTTAGCTTCTTCCAAAAAGTCTATGATAGGTAGTTGTCGTGCATCAACAAGACAACCATTTGTACATTCAACTATATTTGAGGTCATCGTTCTTCCCTGGTTCACTGTTGCATGAAACCTAGATAACCTTTCATACCCAACATCTTGAAGATACTTTTTTACTTTTCCATCTATTTTATCCAATTAAGCCATTGATTTTTCAAAATTCTCTATTCTATAAGCTTTTGCAATTGAGTAAAACAGATCACTTAGAATGGTCATGCTTCACCTAAATTTTTAACAAACATTTTCCCAGAGGTGTCATATGCATGCAAAATGAGGAAAGTTGGATAAACAATACTTACACCTTTCTTTATGCTTTCGTTTATGTCAGATACAACACACATTTTTTTTCTCTCATTAAATGCATTCTTAAACTGTTGAAAGAACCATGTCCATAAACAATCATTTTTCATGTCAACATTTCCGTATGCCAAAGGCAATATGCAACCTTAACATAGAAACACAAAACAATATAGAATAAATAATGTCTGACTATTAAGTTAATAAATAAATAAATTCATAAACAACATGTCATACCTGCTCCATCGAGTGTATTAGCAGATACAAATGTCTCTCGATAAGCTCCACTAAGATGTGAATCATTAACAACAACAACTGGCCTACAGAACTTAGATCCTCTCATCATTGGCCTTAATGATATGAAAAGATATATAAATTCGTTGTATTCAGACTTGTGCATCCATATATATGAATTTGGATACACATTTTTCAGCATATATATGTATCTTGGCATATTTCTATATCCACAGCAGGTTTACCCCTTATCATTTTCAATGCACGCTCTTTAGCCCGCCATGCTTGCTGATAAGAAATCTCAACGCCATACATTTCCCTAACATCCTCAATTATATCGTTCAAAGTATGTTTCCTTTTATGATTTCCCAATTTTGGAGCTGTCACACCACTAACAAACCCAACAGTAGCTTGACCTTACTTAATACCCTATTCTCAATGAAATTTATGTTCACTATTAAAGTATCTCACTATGAATGTCTCTGAATTCTTTCTAACATAGCCCTTCAATTTTCAACAACAACCATCTGAATAACAAACTAACTTTGTTATTTGATCAGGTTGACCGTACTGATACATAATGCATTACGATACATCATTTCAATTACAAGATAGAATTGATATTTTCACATTATGATACTTTATTCTTTAAAGTAATCACAAATTTACTCTTAAACATTTTTCATCTACCTTTATAAATTTATACATTCATAACCAGAAAAACACCAAAACGAACAAGATATATTCTACAAACGACTATACATAACAAATAATATTAGTATATAATGGTAAACATATTACAAACAAAAATATATATTATTAGGAACATTATCATATAAATGTATAACATACCTTTTGTTATGAAATCTTTCAACTTTAAAATTGAAGTCATTCTTTATTTTGTAATTTTCTATTATCGCCTTTAGAGTTTCCTTATCCTTGTACATTTGCTTCTTTTTCACAACAAAAATATTGGTGTCTGATATATAATTTTCCACCTCCATTTCTGGTATGTAATATGTATCACCAATTTTTGATTCAATAATGCTTAGAGCCTTTGCGTCGTTTTTTCCACCCTCAACTCACACGATTGCACCTGTTGTTGCATCGAAATTTAGTATCTCAACACCTTTATCTGATGTATCAAAGCATAGAGGATACATTCAAGAATCTCACCTCATGTTTTCTTAATTTCTATGTACAATTTCAACCCCATAACAGTCCGAATACACAATGGAGATGAATTACCTTCAACAACATATATAATCTCGATATTTTTTTTCGATTCATCAATACCTAACTCAGCCGCAATTGCTGAAATAAGATTCATGAACGAAATATTTTTCCCAACCACTATTCCATTACTTTTGTATCGCTCGTATATAACATCACTTTCCCATGTTCTAGAATGTCTTAACAGGATAGAAATATTCATTTTTGAATCTTCACAAAGTGCGTCCCAAAATTTTTTAAACAAGCTTTGCGTGTTTTTTGGAAGAACAATGTGAAAGTTTTATAATTTGAAATTCACTAATGCCCGAAATCAGTTAGAGGTTTATGCAGATTGAACGCTAAATTTGTTAAACGTCCGTGTGAAACGTGGGATAAATGTAATCCCTTTTTTTATGCTGTAACTGATAACAACAAATTAAATATTTAAGTAACCGTCCACTCTAATTTAAGTATCATTCAGCAAAATTATGTATCCGAATTAATATAAAAAAGGAGATTTTCGTAAATAGTGAAAGAGTAGGGAGAAAGTAATTTGTCCCTTATACTATATAATTTGCCTAATTTGTACATGTTTTTATGTATATATAGTGTATCTCGTATGTATATCTAGTATATATGCTATGTATGTCATTTGCATCCGTCTTATACCTAATATATACATGATATACAAGTTACATATGTTTTGAGATATAAGCCCCTCAAAAAATGGGGTCAAAATGATTTCGATTTCACAAATTTGAATTTAACTTCAACGTTTCATCAATGTCAAATTTATTCATTATCGAAACTTACACGTTAATGGTGGAGTTCAGATGAACTCATTGAACTGCAACCCATAGCAATGCAGAGAGAATATTGATTTTGGATGGAATGTAAAACTGTGATTCCTTTGATTACTGGTTGAGGTATATATATACATGAGGATTCCAGCTGTAAAGGAGAAACAGAAAAATCTAACTAACTGACTTCTAAGAAACTAATAAATCAGCTAAGCTTACTAATTAAATCTAGAATGTAATTAGCACATTAATTAATTACAATTCTCAATACATTTGTCTATTCATTTTTTCTTATTGTTTAGAATCTAATAATGCCTCGTGAGTACTTGAACTACATTTAATTTGCTTTATCAATTTGTATAATTTACGACTTTATGTTCATATTACCCATGTTATATTTTTTTAATACTCCTCCATTCATTTTTAGTTGTCATGATTTCTTTTTTTAGAGTCAAACGATGAGAATTTTGATTAATATTCTATGATATATTTTGTATTCATATTGATATGCAAAAAATTGTAATTTATAGTACTTTCCGTATAGTTTTTGAATATCTAAATTTTTTGTTTAATATATCGAATTAATGTAATCTAATTTAATTTTGAAAAATTAGTTAAATCAACTTTCAGAAAACATTACAGGACAAATAAAAGTGAACGGAGAAAATATAATGAAAGGGAAGATATTCAAAATTTTAATATTCTGAATTTTGTCGAAAATGTGCAATTTTTGTTGCTATATTTTAAAAGTAGAATAATGTGATGTATTTTTAATAAAATTAGAATCTTATTTCGTCTTTCTTTATTAAAAAATCTTTGTATAATTTTGAGATAAGTTCCAAATTAGTAACAACATAACACACCATAAATTTCCAAATACAGACAAAAGATGAGATCCTTTTGGATTTTGAGTGCTTCACTTTTCTCAACTCAACGTTAAATCTTAAAGCTAACATTGATTTTGATTTTTCACTATGCTCCTTAAATCCAAATAGCCTTATGTGACAAAAAATCAAGTAGATGCCTCCATAAAGAAATAAAAAAAGAAGGATTAGATGCCTCCATAAAGAAAAAAAAAAAAGAAGGATTAGATGCCTTATATTATTATAGCTCCCAATCAAACGTCGTGTAGGCACATTTATGAGTGGTGATGAGTTTTTGAAAAAAATAAAAATAAAAGAAGGATCCAGGTTGTATTTTTATAAGAAAAAGTATTATAAATTTTTATATAATAATTAGGTGATACACTTTATTATTGAGTCCGGCCTCAAAACAAACAACTTTTTGACTCGCCCTTTATGATTTAAAACACAATATACCTCTAAGAGTCCATTTGCATTAGTGTCTAAAAAGTTGTTATAATATGTTAACATTTGTCTTTATGATATTTGAAGTTACTAACTCTATTATCCTCATGACTAATAAAACGATCATTAACTCAAAATCTCAAATTAATTGAGTTCCAATTTCTGCCGCAAAACTCATTAAGAAAAAGTTCAAAAATCGAACATGAAGAATCCACAAGTTGCAACATATAATTCTTGTTTACAACTTGATAAAGCCGGCCAAGGAGTAGTATAGAATCTTGACCTAGCTAGTGACAAAATTTAGTCTAATATTGTTTATATTATTTGTGAAACGTCTAGCTCGTGAGTGGAGGATTCATCATCGTTAACGTAACAATATTGTTGGTTGACAATTTTGAGAGGCATTGGGATTTCAAGCATCAACATCTCAGTGTGGAGATAAGAGCAATAGGTGTGGAACGTTGTGGGAGTCACATTTAATTGAAACCCTATTCCAAATAAGAAGTCCACTTCTAGTAGATTCATCTCTCTTGTGCTTATTCCACCTACTTTCCCATAGTAACCATTGTTGTAAAATCTGGAGAGAAAAAAAACATATAACATTTTCAACTTTCAAGACAATTGAAATATTTATCGCGAAAATTCAAAATTTTATGGTTTAAGTAATCTTTTTTATATTCTCAATCAGACATTTTACATTTGAATCGGAAAAACAAAGTTATTATTGCATAGGGAGCATTGTTTTAACTCCTAAGGTCATTAGATCTACCGAAGTGAATTCAGATTAACTGAGGCTCAAAAGAAAATAATTGAAATATTTACTTTTCCAAAGCATTAACATTTAAATTATGAAAAATTTGAAATGTACGTACATCTAATATCTGTTAAACAACCTTTGATCTAATTTAACATTTTAGGTTAAAATGTCATAGTGCCTTAAAAATCATAATTATGTTAACATAAGTAGGACAAATAGATCTTAAATATGATTAAATATTTGGGGGGGGGGGGGCTGTAGTGGAGGATCACTGATTATAAACTTCACATCAAGGAATTAAGTTGAAAGCTACTAAAAAAGCAAATTAATTGTAACTTAATTAGTGACAGTAGCAAAGAGTTGAATGACAGCTAATAATGCCTTTCTAAAAATCAAGATTTCAGATCTACAATTGGATATTCCACTTACCAAATCATTTTTTTTAATTTTATTTTTAAAAAACAAAAACAAAATAGAAGATCAACCGACCAAAAAAAGAAAAATGTCAAAGCTACAGAGCTAGGCATAGTTAAAAAATTATAATTATGTATTGTTCACAAAGCACTAATCCTATTAATGTAGATTATATGACATTTAATATTAATGTTAATAAAAACTTTTATTTATTAGTATAAGCAAACAATATTTATTACTCTTTCACCCTTAATAAAATGATTCATAGTCACACAAAAGCTTAACTAATTTGCATTTCATAAGTAGAAGGCAAATTTAAACTAGAAATTAACTAATATTATACTATAACAATACTAATAAAATTTACATAAATCATTACTATAGAGTCCAACTAAAGTACTAATTAAATACGAAACTTTAATATTTTTTCTCTCAGAGACACACTTATACTATACTAAGGTTCTATTACACTCTGAACTTATTTTATAAATAATTTTATATTTCTTTTCGGCCGACGTAGCATTAACTGGAAAAAAAATGTCAACACATATTGGGTCTACATGATAGTGTCACGTTGGCTGAAAAGGAATAGAAAATTATATATAAAATAAATTCAGGAAGTAATAAGACCTGAGTATAATATAAGTGTGTCTCTAAGAATTCGAACACAGATTAAAATGATGCTTATACTTTTTTTAAAAAAATATTATTTTTTTATAATAAGAATAATTCAACTTTATAATTTATCATTTACGTTAATGAAATAATTGATAGCCACGTAAAAATGTTAGGAAGGTCAGCAGACAAAAGACAGCACATCATATCTTGTGGTGATTTTGTCTGGATTTGAAACATGGACATTTCCAAAATTCACATGTTCTTATTTGACACTATTTTTGCTTCAGGACGGCGTCGGCAACTTGGTATCTAAATATACCTTGTACGCTTTAAAAAAAATAATTAATTGCACATGTACCCAATTAGCTCCATTGCTTCTTGATTATTCCATCAAATATTTATTAAGTTTTTATTAGTATAGATACAAAATAAATTTATCTATCAAAATTTAGCTGTATTTTTAGCCTTCACATTTTAGGTGCCTTTTTTTTAATTTAAAAAAACAAAGCAATCAGTGTAGGTAAAGATAATTCTCTTAGGTTAGACACTAACAATTTATTTAAGGAATTAATGATGTAAGGTCAAGGAAGTTGGAAGAATTAGTAAGTTAACTAATTGTGTCAAAGTCAGGATACTTACAAACTACTCTTTCACAAGAGTTTTCATACTGTGTGGCACCAATTTCAAGGTAATGGTTTTTATGATTTTTTATTATTAAAAAATAATTACGTATACTTTCACTAATTTGTACTAGTATTTGTAGATGTAAAAAAAAAAAACTAACAGCAGGAATCTACCTGTCTATGGGCATTCTCAAATCCAGTCCATTAAAGGATCGTTTTAGTTTAGTGTGAACGATAAAAATAATATATTTTAAAAAAAATAGTTAAAAATAAAATTTTAATATTAAACTATTTATATCATAATTATAAAATAATTTATTTTTCAAAATAATTAATTTTACAATTATTTCGAACCAAAAACAAATCATTATAATTAAGAAAGTTCTTTCTAAAGTATCTATTTTCTAAATATCAAATCATTATATAGTCATCATCCTATCCGGCAAATGACCTGTTATACTACTCACTTTACAAAGTAAACAATTACTCCAATCGTTTCAATTTATTTGACAATTATATCTGATTAACCATATTTTTTTATAAAAATCTCAAAATTGATGATCTTAAACATATCATCTCATAAGTCATAAAAAAATTTCCAAAGTGTAGAAAGTTGTGAAGCAAAACTCTGTTTCCCCCCCTATTAGCTCTGTTCTATGTTTTGTTTGTGCATATATATAATAATGTGATCGCTATCTCTATGATATTATGTGAAAAGAAAGGGAATTGAACGAACTCACATATCATCCATGAATTTAGCCGAAACCAAGACGCTTGTAATGAGTAAGCGATGAACATTGAAAGAATTGATGGGCAACAATGGCTGCATCTGTGAGAACCGATCAAGATAAATATAGGCGACGATGAAACAAGAAGGGCTACAATTTGCATATTTGAATATCCTCTCCAAGTAACTTTGGACAGAAATTGTAGGCCTACTAAGTCCATCAAATATAGAAATTTTTGATCTACTCTTCACATCATTTCGTTCAGCTACTCTTTCAACAACACAAGCCATCAAATTTAGAAATTTAGGCATTTCTTCATCACATTTATCTATTTCACCCATTGATTTGGATTACAATGTCTTTGTTTTCTTAGCTGTGAACTATCTTCTCTTTTTCTACTCTTCGTTTACTTCTATTTATAGTAATTATTTTATTAATATATACCAAATAAATAAAACTAATGAGCGTCGGTTGTAATTAAAAAAAAAGTCCAATAGTGTAAATTATGACATTGACATTGCCAAGATATATGGCTTTGTAATTTGCACATACTTTTAAAGTTATTTATCAAATTTAATTCATCCGTTCAAACTCAACTTAATCGGCTTATATAACACTTTCGGGGGTTATTTTGTACGAAGAATAATAAAGCAGAGATTAGTAATATAGAGATTAATAATGCATAAATAAGTATCGCATAAATAATGTATATTTTTTTAATCAAGTGTTTGATTTATTAATTCCTAACTAATCTTATGTTTGGATTAAAACTCTATAAAAAGCTTAAATTGATTGATCAATTTTCAACTAAGAAAAGATAGACTATCTATTTTTAAATCCGAAAAGACCGTAAGTGATAGTTATAAAATTGAATAAACCATCTACATATATACATAAAAATTTAAAGTTGTAGTTTTAATATGTGTACAATTATATAAATTGTTTATACTACAAATAATTAGAAAATCACACACACGCACGCACACACATTTATTTAGCACCAAACATCTCTCTTTAAATAATAAAAATGACAAGTTAATTTATTTAAATGAATTTATCAGAACAAATATAAAATATAAAATCAAGAATATAAATAAAAAAATTTGGGGATATAATTTTGTCTTTGTATGATTTTATTAATTAAAAAGAAATTATTTTTCATTGGTCTACTCAAGATGATAAATTGTAAAATGGCACATTTACTCGTAAACGTATGGCAGTAGAGTTTGGTATTGTTGACTTATCTTTTAAAAGAAGAAAAGTGATCAAGAAGGGGATTAACTAAATTAGAGGAGAGATTTATGTGACAAAGGGAAGATTATTATAATTTTTTAAGGGGCCTACTCTATAGTTTCACATAATAATGATGATTTTTACATAATTAATTCATATTTGTATCCCACAGGCCACAAGTATATGGTATATTAGGCATCATAGGTTATTCAGGCTTTACCTCTAAGCGTATAATAATTTGCTTTATCATCACTTAGATATATAGCAACATTATTTTATGGAATTGTTATTTTACAATTTCATATAGTTAAGTTAATAGTATAATTAGTACTAGTATAACACTTATTGATAGTCTCATTACTATTTCCTCCGTTTTTTATTACTTGACTTATGTTAGACTCACATTTTCCATTAAAATCATTTATCAAAAACTTTTGTTTAATAATTAGATAGCATTTGTAAAAATGTAGTGCTTGGAAATGTCTGATCTGACATTGGCTGTTGACATCTAACCTGCTCTTTTCATGTAATTAATTACTCCCCACATCAATCCTAATCAAACTAATTATTTTTAATAAATTCTTTTAGCATTATTAAACTTCATCTAAACGCAGCCACCGCCCACCAGAAAGCACCAAATGTTGGTAATTGTAAAATTAGTTCAATTAAGAAATCATGCTTAGAAACTATTTTAGTTAAGAGTTGGTACTTGCTTTGGAAGAATGTGAAGTTTAATCAAGCTAAAGTCAATAGGTTGATAAAAACTAAAGTAAAATGTTCATGTCATCAGTGTGAAAAAAGAAAGCAATAAGTTTGGTGAGCTTTGTTTGGATGGTTAAATTTATGTTATAACAAGGTTCGGATAGAAAAATTAGACCTGTCACTACAATAAAAATAACTTTTAGCGATATTAAATATTGACACTAATAAAGAGTGTTAAAGTCTTTACCGGTATTAGTTAAGTGTAATAACAGATAGTATTAAATAAATAGTATTAAATAATATTAGTATTTACTGTGTATTAATCCTAGTCCTATTAGGATTAGTACTCCTTAATCCTAGTCCTATTAGGATTAGTACTCCTTCCTATATCTCTCATGTATTCTCTTATTAGGTTAACAATTCAATACAATCAATATTCCTTCATGGTATCAAGAGCCAGAAAACCTAGATCTTCTTTTCTCTAGGTTTTTTTTCTCTCTTTAGGGCACCGATCGTTCCCTCTCTTCTCTTGGGCGGCGGCTGCCATGACAACCGAGGTGGATCCTCTCGATTCACTTCTTTCTGGCGTTAAACTCCTTCTCAGGCATCTTCATGCCCTGATTCCCGAAAAATTATCAGACATAAATTACCCTACATGGAAAATCACCGTTCTTACAGCCCTTGAGGCCAATTACCTTCTCAAATACGTCGATGGAAGCACAGAACCTCCGCCGGCAGTCATCACCGCCACGGACAAATAAGAAAAAACTAATCCGGCTTATGCCGCCTGGAAAGTCGTGGATGGCCAGATCCGATCATGTTTGATTGCGGTCATCTCTCCCACGGTTCAGAAACACGTCCGATCTTACACAACTGCTTCAGCCCTGTGGACGGCCCTCGCAACATGCTATGCATCAATTTCCCACTCTCATATTTTTCAATTGCGGGATCGTCTCCACACAATTACCAAAGGCACGAAAACTATGGCGGAGTATTTAGACGATGTCTCCACCATCATCACAGCCCTCGACACAGTGAACGAAATCATTTTCGAAAAAGATCTCGTCATATGCGTCGTTCGGGGGCTCCCATCAGCTTACTCCTCCATTAAACAGGCGGTTCGCATCAGTCCAACGCCCGTTGACCTGGCTACTCTCTCCTCGTGGCTAAAAAGTGAAGAAATCAACGTGGATTTGGAGAGCAAACTTCTTCTCCGAGAAGCCGCTGTTATGGAGTCGGCCACCGCCCTCACCGCAAGCTAGAACTATCGCGGGGGGTGTGGTGGCGGCCGGCAGGGGAGTCGCGGCGGCTACGGCAGAAATAGCGGAGGCCGCGGGCGCGGCGGTTGGTAGGGCAGTCGTCCGTCGTACGACGGTCAGCAGCACGGCAGCAACAACAGCCTGCCCTTCGACAGCGGCAGGCAGTCATCTTCCAACGGCGGGCAGGGCACTTACGAGCGGGATCGTCCAACTTGTCAAATCTGTCAGAAAACAGGACACACCGCTGTTCGTTGCTGGTTTCGGTACGAGGAGAGCCGAAATAGTGATAACCGTGCCAATTATGCATCTCAAGT